GAACTGTTGTACAAATAATCAACTGGTATGATTTCATCCTCAAAATACTAGTATTTAACTAGTTTTTTTTTTTTTGCATACTACTCTGCTTTCTCTCTCTGCAGATACTTTACATACGTAATTTGTGCATGTTTACAAATGTTAATGCTTTTTCGCCATTGCGACCACCTTTGATTATTATTTTACAGCGCACATGACAGCTGACACTGTTTTTATTACTCAATAATTACAAAAAAAATTAACAAAAATTTCTATGTGCGTGCTTTAATTATATTTAAAATCCAAGCTAATCTTAAATTGTATAGCGTTTTTCTATATTTACAAATTGAGGGATTCAGAGTATAAAGTAACTAAAGGTTTTTGTGTAAAAACTAAGCCCTGGAATCTTTAACAGTAAAATTTAAGACCGTAGAAGACTGCCGCAGATCACCTAACGTCATGGCTTCGCATTTCTCTTTGAACCTGGTATTGTATCCAGGTACCTATACAGTAACAAACCGGGTAATAAGTTGGCGGACGAGCTTGCAAGGAAGGGAAGTTCCCTTCCACTTTCGTCATCGTGAAAGAGTTTGGGCATCCCGCTCTCCACTCTATATATATATGAGAGTTATTCATTAAAGATGCTAGCTTAAGGTGGAAAACTCTCAATGCGAGTAATGTGACAAGTGCAATACGGCCTGAATGGACCGAAAGAAGGAGCTAAAAAGATATTAAGGAGATGTCTACAGTTATAGGTCTTCTTACAACACATATTCTATTGGGTGGGCACACAGAGAGGTTGTTCTTATCATCTAACGACTTCTGTGGAAATTACAGATAAGAAGAGGAAGCTGATACCTTAAGGTACTTTTTCTGTGAACGCTCTGCACTTTGGAGCAGTCGGTGGTGGTTTCTAGGGACGGCATCATTTGGAGACTTTAGCGAAATAGCGAGGGCTAAAATACGGCGACTGTTCAGTTTTTCCACACATTACATGGATTAGCGGTTGAGGGTCCAAAGGATCCTCAGTGGTATCACAGTGAACTAAGATTAAATGGATAATCAGAGGAGGGCTGGTTTGAAAATTATGACGGACGGATATTGAGACTGTAACTGGAGCTGGATTTCAGACTAAGGCTGCTACGAAACAGAGAGAGAAAGAGAGAGATAAAGAGAGAGAAAGAGAGAGAGAGAAAGAGAGAGAGAGAGAGACTACACTACACTGGATTGAGATGGAGAGGTAGTTTGTGGTTGATTATAAGACACATACCTGTGAAAAGTTTAACCACATTAAATAGTGAGATTGAAAATAAGCTAAAGATGAAGACTTAAACTGGAATTGACTGGTAAACTGATTTGCTACTGAGGGACTCTGAAATTGTGATTCTCATTTCACGTCTACGATAATGAAGGGACTAGGATTTGGTTTTTGAGTGGATCTTGGGAGTGTGACTGATACTAATACTCGTACTGACATTAAAACTGGAGTTGAGACTCACACGGAGAGATAGATTGTGATTGATAATTAGACACAAATCGTTAAAGAGCCAGGTTGACACTAACACCAAGACAGTTTAGTACCAATTCGTGATTGACTGACTGGGATAAAGATACGATACTGAGTCAGACTGTTAGGTGCTTCTACCCTGCTATGCCATACTTTGGTATCTACGAAAAAGTTATGTAGCTGTGTAAACTAACGCTGGGTAGCAACAAAGTTCCGCCAGAAGCAGGAATGACGGCTCCGACCCGTTCGATACTAAACGAGGTTTCATACAAGATAATTCATTATCATATTACTTCATTAGACTTGAGATAATAATACGAACTGGAGATCTGATTAGAGAAGGTACAGTCTTCTATAGGAGTGTACAACTGCTGGCGTACTCCGACGATATATATGAAATATCGAACTACAGAGTCCTTTTTGCTAATAGGTGCTAACGTATACATATACTGTCGCGTACTGGCCGCAACAAAAACTTCTTTTATGTGTGTCTGTTAATTTCCTTTGTTTTGCCTAAGCTCCCTTTCACCCCAAGCGTTGGCAGTGATATCTGTCGGCAAATAGTTGCATTATTTGAAGCCATGGATTGATGGCACGGTTGCATTCGGTGTGTGCCTACCCAGTGGTATAAGTCTCCAAAAGGAGGTGTTCCCCAAAACGGTTCCTCCACTAACAAATATTAGGGCAACGGTATGCTTTGCGCGGGAATTCCGTAAAAAGGGGTGTCGCCTTTTTCTTTACTGCAGCGAGGGGAAAAGTTATCCCAGTGTACTTGGTGTGCCATGGTGGC